TTCACCCCACTACATGCTCTGAGATGAACTCCAATTTTTTTTCCAGCACTAAATCTTCTTCATTATGCCAACAGACAGAATTTTTCAGAGTGACCTATGATTTTGCGGACAAAACAAAAATATGGCAACTTAAAATCCACCCAATTCCCAACACCTCCTTTTTTAAGGGTAGTAGTGCCTTTTTCAGAGGTTTTTCCACATTCATACAGACCCTAACACGCAGGTAAGATTCACATTTCTCACCCAATTGTTTATAATCATAACTAATGAAATTTCCAATAAAATTACGCACCCGTTTGGTTGTACCTAAATTCATCATACTATACGAGACATTATGCACTTGTACCCAAAACTCAGCCTCATTCAAACAAATCTTATGTGGAATATCATTTGGTTTATTTTCTCTCAAGATCAACTGATTCCTCTCAAACTACCATGGGCCACCATCAAGCACACGCTTCATATCAACACAAGAATATTACAAAATAAAACTTATTTACATAAATATGACTATTCATTACTACAACTTAGTGTTGTGGTAATTTAAGTTCAAAACTTGAACATAAATTACTATGATTTCATTATTACTACTCTAGTAACTAGTCATATTTTTATAAATCATCTTTATTTTGGTCATATTTATGTAATTATTTCAAAAAGTAAAGCGATACCTCTTATCACTAATTAACTTCAATTCTTTGATTGCTACACCCTTTCCCGGCCTCCACAATGATGCCATAAGATCTTTGAACACAGGAAATTTGATTTTCTTGTCTGTAAGCAAAACACCAACCACCGGATATGTCGACAGAACCTCCTCTGTTGGAACATCATGCAGTTCGCCATCATCCATATCCAGTTCCTCAACGTCCTCGTCGATGTTCATCTTCCTATATTGATCCACAACCTCTTCCATGCAACCGCTCCTCTTCCTCGATCAAGACCCCTTCGATCACACTTGTGTCCGTAGCAGTCAGACCTGCAACGAAACTCGATTTGCCGGCTGTGATCCTAAACCTCGCCTCCGATCTCCGAACGTCAATCCCCCTTCCTCCAATCACGACGAACCAAAAACGGCCACGGTCCACGAACTCACCCCGACCCCGTCTCTATCTCTTCCTTCAAACACTTCTTGAAACACCGACAGAATTGCCAGCGAAGAAGCACCGCCCCTCGACCAAGATCGATAGCGGACGTACGCCTCTAGCGGTCGAACCCCTGGAGAGACACTAAACAGAGCTCATTCATGAAATTCTAAAATACAAGCACTGTTATATTTTAAATAGAAGTGAAATAGTGAATTAACTAGACCATACTTTGATAGATCATGAAAATTATATTTCAATTAAAACATGCATCCATTCTTTCAAAAATTAATTGTGAGCGGGTGCGGCAGCCGGAAAGGAGGTTGTATGCTTGCTCTTGCTAATTTTCAATTTCAGTTTCTAGTAAAGGAAAACATCACTCTACAATACATATATTTGCATTACACTACCAATAAATATTTCATCGTGTGAAATGTCCAATTCATATTACTCATTATGTCACTACAAAAAAACATCAAAATAGGCACGGACTTGGCACGGATTGGGCGAGTTTGGCACGGACTATAACTTATTTTTGGCACAACTCCGTGCCAAATAGCTGGTGACAAAACGACTTTGGCACGGAATTTGGCACGGATTTAACGCATCCGTGCCAAATCCGTGCCAAATACCCTACGAATTTTGGCATATCCGTGCCAAAGCTCCGTGCCAAATCTGTGCCGAAATCGTTGTTTTTTTGTAGTGTGTATTAAGCTTAAAATGCGTTCGGAGTAATGCACATGTACAACCTATTACAAGCTTTGAGTGAACAAAGCAATTTCTCATCCATTAAAAAGGTTTCCCAAAATATGTTGACTAAAACTAAAATTTTCTCATTTGACATTTCAAATCTTGCCGATAGTTGTTTGCATCATACTGATAGGATCCCATTTCATCTGATAAAGTCTCACCTAATAGTCTGATATAGTCTAGGAATGAATTCAATTCAAAATATATTAGGTATGAATTGAAATCAACAAGTCCAGCCCTCCACGGCTAAATCTTCTAAAAACAAGATTATTCAACAAAATTCAGTTTTTCCAAGGTAGTGCAGACCCAAAGCCAGAGTCACAGGCCAGGAAGGCTCCAGGATAGCGGAGAGGAGGCAACATTATCTGAAGAGGATAGGACAATCAGCGGTTGAATGGGGGAGCATGTAGAAGAGGAGGTGGACCTGGGATGGACAGGAGCAGCCGAGCAGGTGCAGGCGCATTCCGAGGAGGATGTCATGGGTGTGGACGAATAAAAAAAACAGGGAAGAGGCGGGCTGGCATACCCAGACCCGCCACTAAAGTTGAAGATGAGGACCTCCTGGCTGATTAGAGTCACTTTTGACTCAAGACTTGTTTTTATCTTTGACGATTTTCCTTTTGAACATGTTTTGCTGTTGTTTGTTTTTGTTTATACTTTTGCTAAGACTCTAGAACATAAAACAGGTGGGGAAGAGCCTAGTTTATTAGTCATTGGCTCAGTTTCGCCCAATTCAGGATCAACGATTCTGGTTGCTTCTTTTGAGGTGGCAGATTCTATGTCTGGTTCAAGGGCAGACGGTAGGTATGAGGTTTTTGGTCTTATTGTAACATGTTTATGTTCTTTCTTATTGATATAAGTCACCTTCATCCAAAAAAAGATTTGGGATTGGATCTATACCAGATTTTCTCCCCTTCTAAATGACTTTTGAAAATAATATCTCTTCAACCATTATCTCTAAAAAGAGATTCCACATTATCAATATTATCATTAAATAAACTCGTGAATTTGGATGTTCTAGAGATTCAAAATTCCTCGTACATACGTTTTATATATTTTCATTTAAGTTAGTGTGCAATTTGAATTTAAGGAGCACGTAACTAAATGAAATTTTGTCAATTGTAAAAAGTAATATACCGGATCACGATACAATATTCAGAGGGTGATCCAAATTACTCCTATAAACAGTTTTTAAAAACTAGGGACAAACTTCTGAAAAACAGATTCTGATGAAGTTGCTTTTGCTTTTAAAAAATAAACGAAAAGAGAATCAATTCAAAACACATCTAGATGTATATTACGAATTTATGGCAATTATACTCAAATCATTATAAATTTACCCTAATCTCCATAAGTGATCCAGCGGGTAAATTAAAATGTGAATAAGTAAATTACATAATTATTCTTATTCTTAAATATGTATATAGCTATTCTAACTTAAGTATTTAAAATTCATGTTTCACATATAAACCTTTCATAGGTTGTCAAATGTGCATGGACTCTTGTACTAGGGCAAGTTACTAATTCTCTCGCTTCTCTCTAGGGCTTCGGCCGCTTGGAGTCTTTTTCCGTCTTCGATTTTAATCGAAGGACGGTCGCTTTTTCCGTCTTCGATTTTAATCGAAGGACGGTCACTTTTTCCGTCTTCGATTTTATTCGAAGAACGGCCGCTGTTTGTTTGTGCTTCATCTTCGGAGGGCGGATTTGCTATCATGGCTTGAGGAGATCGGCGTTGTGGTCAAGGTTCGAGGATGAGGCGTTGCTGTCGTCGTTGGAGTAGATCGGCGCCGCATATACTCTGGTCGCACGGAGCAAGGATGAGTTTGCTTATGCAGAGACGGAGGATTGATGCATGGTTTTTGGCAGCCAAAGGTCACAGAGGATCAATAAGCATGGTACCGGTGGTACGACCTCCTCCTGAACCACCACCATGGGATGTATGAGGTGCTAGAGTTCGTGAACGCTTTTCTTGTAGTTTATATCTGTTTGTTTTTTGTTTTCTTGTGTCCACTTGTGTTGTTGGTTTTGACAGTTTGTTCGAGTTTTTTGTCTCTCTTTATGTCATTGGGTATGGTTGGATCTGTGGGAACATGTTTGGCTGTGTCAAGCCCACTACATGGTAATAAGTGATTCATGTTGCTCTCTCAGGTGTGACCGTCTCAAAGTCTCACTATAGGGTTACAGTCATAATTGTTAGAGTTTCAGTTGGTGTCAATTTTATTTTCTCTTTGCTTGATGTAATGATCTGAATCTTTTGATATGAATAGAGGCCCGTTTTGATGATCAAAAATATATATATATATAAACCTTTCATACGCAAAATACTCATGTTGTTATACATACTAGTCACCCTACCCGTGCGTTGCACGGGACTGAAGTAATTACATAAGAATTTAGATGAATTATATAAGTAAGAAAAAAGTTGATAGTGAATCAATTAATTGAAAACACAAAGTTAAAATAAGAAGTCATGTCTAATATGAAATTAAAAAATAATGCTCAAACTTAAATATACATTTTTTGGAAGAAGGGGGCTTTAATTGATAGCAAGTTAAATTGACAGCATTAACATTCAGATAGGAAGTTAAACGACAAAAGGATCACAGACAACCGCCAGACGCCAGCCCTCGAACCAGACTTGGAGTAAATCACCTTCAAAAAAGCAATATAACTCGTTGACCCTATAATGGACATAAATGAACCAAAAATGGTTAAATCAGACCTCCCATCACCCAATCCTAATGCAAGAGTCTTACAATAATAAAAGTAATCAACATAAAAATAAGCAGTCTGATCATGAAAAATAAATCGCAATCAAATAGTAAAATTAAAAATATGCTTCCAAGCCCTACTCTCCTGCACTCCATGGCGACGGTTCAGGTGGGAGACGATCCAACAATACTGACAATATTGTAGCTTCTTCCTCATCACACCTCTTCATCATTTTTTTTCTACCAAACCTCTTCTATCGCAACCTAACACAAATGACCTCGAAGATCTTTCACCAATTTTTTATATTGGTGCATAATAATTAATTAGTCTAGTTGAGAATATGAAAAAAAGGGATACAAATTGTTAAACCTTTATTGAAAATAAAGGGAAGCAATAAATTTGTAAAGTCAATAGTAGTATGAAATTATTAAATTATAAATTCAAAGAAAACCCCAAAACTGTTATTAATGTTAAAATGAACACCCATTTTTCTTATTGCAACTATTTACATTAATGTGTGAAAGAATGTGCCAAGTATACATCTAAAAACTAACCGTCTCGTGCTCAACATGATTCACATACCGTCTTATAAAATCAATACTAATGATGTTAAAAATCATAATAAATCCGTAGTAATAAAATTTTAACACGATTCGCTATGCCAAGAAAAGAAGATCCACCATCGGAATGAATATCGGAGACAACCTGGAGCATATCCTACTCTATATCAATGTTGTCCCAATGAAGTTCCTTTAGGCAGCGGAGTGTTTCCCGAATCCCTGTCTCCTCACGGACAACCCAGCCAAAGCCCCGGCGACTATTCTCACCTATCGCTGCATCTATGTTCATTAAGTCTGCCATGCTTCGGTTTCTTCCACAGTGCCGCTTCTATCCCAGGCTCCCAGCTGATTTCCTCAAACCAGTTCCAGTTCCTCCTCTCCCTTGAGCTTTCCCTCCAGGCCTTCAAAAAAGAATCAGCCAGCATAACAAAATTTGCAACCGTAACCACTTAACTATTCCACACAGCCCTATTTTGAGCTTGCCAGATACTCCAGCAACCCCACTAACCCCAAGTTAACCCATTTGCAGCAGTCCACCCTTTCTTTTCCCAAACCCCCACGGCCAGTGGGCATGAAATAAACAGATGGGGAATTGATTCCATTTCATCCTGACATAGCATACAATGATCCGGAAAATGAACTTTCAACTGATCAGAACTTGGAAGATTCCCGGTACACAACTACTTAAATAAAGTCTTCACCTTGGGGGGGGGGGGGGGGGGGGGCAAAATAATTCCATATCTTGGTCCACTCCACCCAAGCCTTACCATTAACTTGCAACAGACCTCCTTACTTTCCTCCAAACCTGACGGACACCCCGATTGCACCCTTGGGTCTTGGGAATCAGTTAACCAAGGATCACCCAATATTAAAGTTTTTTTAAGTATAAGATTTACTTATTTTTCATAAGGCTTCCATTTGAAAACTATTTCTTTAGAACCGAAAATAATTCAGAGTAAAAATCAGACAACTAACCTATTTCATTTCAAGGCCAGCATTTCTAGGCCGGTGTCTTAGCCAACCCTATACCTAACCCATGCCTAACTAAAGCCTTCTCTATATTACAGGACTACTTTAAGCTTTATGTTAACACTACTCTATAGGCATGATTTAAAAAATAAATCCAAAGCAGAAAATCTTCTATTTTCAAAAAACAAATTGAATAATCAAGATGAAACTTTATAGACACGTGTTCATTGAAATTTCCTGTAATTGGAGAATTCTCTTTTTTTTTAAAAAAATTAAATGTATATCTAACCGACATGAACTGTTTAATGGATGTGGCCTGCTAAACTTTGCCTTATGCCCTTAACCATAGCGTCCTGCAAACGAAAAACTAAACCAAATCAATGTAGCTAGTGAATTGGGAACACATGAACACTGATGTACATGGACATTGTATATTTTTTAATCATATCCTCACAACCTTTGCATCTTTCGTAAAAAATATGGACATTGTATATTAACACAACTAAAATAAATCGATTTTTTAGTTTATAATTTTTCTAAACTGCCTCTAAAATAACTTTAGCAATGATGTACTCAATTCAAAGAATCAGAAAAATAGAAACCCTTTAATCTCTAAAAAATCATATATTTGGAAAGTTATTTTTTCTATAAAAACAGGGATAATATATCTTTGGAAAAAAACATAAGCTTCTTAGACTATAAAAATATCCTTTGGAAACTTCTTTTGTTTCATAGTGATTATTTTGAAGAAAAAAGACTAACTTTCCAAAATGTTTAACTGAAAAAGGGCATATGATAAATAAAAATTCAGCAGGACATACGAAAACACAAAAGGGGTACAAAAGATACTCTTCTATATATAAGCAATAGTGATTGAGAGCTTATAGGAGATGATATTCTAGAAGTGCTAAACAGACTCTCTTCGATTCATTATTTCAATTTCCTGTTGCACACTTGCAATGTATGCAGCTTTTAGTATGCCATTGGTGACGAAGGGGATGAGAAGATTCACCAAGTAATTCACAGGAATTTCAGCATTTAGAGTTTTAGATATATGATAGATCATATGTCATATAGTTGGCTTAATCAAGTTTGTTTAAACTGAGTCGTTTTGGTAATCCGGATGTGCGAATTACTGCAACAAACCTTTGAATTTTAATTAAATTTAGTCATTTAGATGAGAAGATTAAAAAAAGAGAATGAGTTCAACAAAATATAGTTTACACTATTTTGTTTCTCAAATGATATATTTGGGTCCCCGGAAATGTTAGGAGAAAAATATATATAGGAAAGTAGTGAAGAAAATTAGAAAAAGAAATCTATTTTAGAGATTTGTTCAGATCTGATTAGGATTCAATTATTTTCAAAAACTGTTAAAAAAGCATTGTAACAAAATAAGCAGTCTTAGAAAGCAGTTTAACAACAAAGATATTACAATTAAAGATGCAGTTCAATTAAATACCACATTTGATTATTTACCACTTGATCCATCAATACTAATTCACAAACTCGTAAACCCATGATGTCGTTTCTTAAAGGAACCGTCCATTTTCTGGTCACACGCATTAGCAACGCATCACACACATTCCAATTAAGTGTGACATCGGACATGACTTTCTTAACTGGTGCCATGTTGTCTACAAAAACATTGCAAGTAGATGGTCATTTCTAATTGAATTTTAAAAATAAGTTAACATGTATCACATTTAAGATGAAGGTGTTTGACAAAGCAGTGATGCTGTACGTAAAATAAAAAAAAATAAAAAAAGCAGTATGCACCACATCAAGCTGCCAAGAACTAAAGATTTGAAGTACTAACAATAGCCATACAAAAAGTATGAATTCAGCTAGATGCCATAAGATTTATTCAGCTTGACAAAGATTTTAGCTCACATGTCATTACTCATGTGCACCCTTTTTTGTTTGTTTTTAATATGATGCTAAGTTATTAAATTAAAATTCAACTTTTTAGAAATAACATTAGTGAAAATCAAATCAATCCTAATTGTCAAGAATAGCAAATCCTATTTCCAAAGAACAAATTGAACAATCAACCACAAAATTAGATCCTATTTTAGGCTCAAGAGAACAAAAAAAACTTACAGAATTACTACGTATATCTTTTACAAATAGTTTATTGCTCGGTAATTAGTAAGTTAGTAACTACTCAACTAAAAATGCTCTTATTGCGACCCTTTTGACAACTACCAATGACAAAAATATTATGACACAAAAATATGCTAAACTGTTTAACATGCTTACAAATACAGTTATGTCATGCTGCTGACGATAAGAATCAGCTGACTCAGTGATTGTTGAGGAGAATGAAACCATCTCAACACTTAGATGTAGTCCTCTTTTAGCACTCTGAAAAAAATAAAGAGTTATAAACAGAAGCACCCTGAGCGTTGTAAAAATCTACATAGTGGAAGAGCCAAAAATACCAAATAACTCCATAACAGAAATCTTCCAAGTTCTTTTGATTTGTCTAAAAAATTAGTACAGATTCATCATTTGTAGACAGAAAACTTCAGAGTTTCAAAATTAAATACAACAAAAATGGACTGGCTGGTCAACAATTACAAATGAGAAATACTTCATTTGCACATATAAGTTTTCCTTGTGCATATAATTGAAGGTAGGAGAATGCACACTGCCTCACTCCATTAAACTATTGATTGTACTGGGAGAGCACCAGGCAGAAACAATAAATATCAATAAACTATATAGAGTTGTAAGTAATCATAAAACATGTCTTAACACGTCAAATGATATTGAACCAATAGTATGTTAATGCTGACAGTGTAGAACACACAAAGAATTGGGGGCTTGTGTAATAAGGCTTTTCTCAGTCACTTATTTACAGTTACACACTCATTCTCAAACTCATACAGTTAATCCATATACGTTTTTCCTAAGTCCATAATTTCTTACTCATTAATAGTTCCACAAAAATACACTTTTATCTCAAAACCCTAAGTAAGACAGGTTGTAATGCAAATAAGTAAAACATGTGTGTCACAATCGAGCATTACTTTTGTCTCTCATCTATTGAGCATGAACATATGAAGTAGATGTCAAATGTGTTCATACTTGACTACTCCACTACAATTTAATGATTCACTACCAGAGTTATTCATACAAATGTGTTGGTAAGTAAACCAACTTCTACTTGGATATCAAGCAATATATTTGGACTCAATCATACCAAGTTAATGCACTCATGACATCCCATGAGCAAATGAAGGTGTCACTAATTAATCACATATGCGTTAAAAACTTAAAATGAATTAAAAGCCCAATTAAAGTATACAAATTTGATCTTGATGAGACGAAGAGAAGGAAAATTACTTTCACCTTGTTCTGCTAAGCTTCTAGCCTTTTACAACAGAAGTCACAAGCCAACACTTACACATATGCTTCAGGTTCATTCTAGAGTGCAACAAATTTACATTGGAAGGCTGAGTTTTTGTTAAACCATTCCTTAGAAGAGGTCTCCAAGTAAGGTATGTTTCAATTCCCTGAGAGGCACATCACACCTTGGCTTTCTTCTCTGAAACCTGCAACAGAAGCTAACACTTACACATCTGCTTTAGGTACACTCTGTAGTGCAATATTTCTACACTGGAAGGTGGACCATTCTTCCCAATATGTGTAGTCATGAATCAACTATGACTAAATTGTGTGTTAATTGTTAAGATGAGTACATATGGATTACCTTGTAAACTGCAACGTGGAAAGTGAGCCAATTAGATGCAGTCCAGCCCAAATCATAAAAGCAACACCTACACAATAAAGCATTACAAAAGATGTTATAAAACTGTAACTCCAAATTTCAAACCAGTCTCAACTATGACTAAATTGTGTGTTAATTGTTAAGATGAGTACATATGGATTACCTTGTAAACTGCAACGTGGAAAGTGAGCCAATTAGATGCAGTCCAGTCCAAATCATAAAAGCAACACCTACACAATAAAGCATTACAAAAGATGTTATAAAACTGTAACTCCAAATTTCAAACCAGTCTCAGCCATGTCAGTGTGACTAAATCAGAAAACTCATTTCATCATTGGTGCTGCAGGTGAAAATATTGTATTAAACCAAGTCATTATGAAATCAAATTCATGCTCAATTGGTCATATTTACTCATATTATGATTGTTTTTTCTCTTCTCTTATTTAGAGAAAAAAAGTAATAAAGACACTTCTTAGAGAGTAGTGTCTACTTGCAGCCATAGAAGTAGATAAAACTATTACCCAAATAGAAGTTCTAAATGTTTGAGCGGAGTAATATGGTCTAATTTTCTTCAAACTCTGCACATTTGTCCTCTCTAAAATAGTTGATGCTTATATAACACTTTAGCTACTTGGGTTTAGCTTGAGGTATAAATGGAAATGTTGATTGAGGATGTGGTTTATGTGGTAAAAAAACTCTCCAAGTTTGATTGTCAGCATTGAGAAGTTCTATTGTCAATTAAGCACATCCGGATATATAACACATGCCAAGATAATTAATATATTAAGTTTAAGGAGCCCAACTTTTCTTCTGAGATGGAAGAATGCCATGATGCTAAAATCCCATTGGACCTTAATGAATTAATCTGCTTTGAGAGGGTAGAAGACAGTGGTTAGGCTTAGACTTGGAGGTCTCGATCAGAAGCATTCTCTAAGACAAAAGGCCTAGTTCCTGCATCCATGTGACGGCTGAAATCCTAGTCTACATTTAAGTCGATTTTTTTTTTCAAATTTGAACTAAAATTAGCAAATTTAAAAATCAGCAAACTTGAACTTTATTTAAAGCAGTGTAGCTATGACACTATTAGATTCATCAAAGCTATAATATGAAATACTTCATGAATGAAATTTCTCCACATCATAAAAATAGTGTCTAAAACAGGCAAACTATTTAACCAATTAATCGTAAGATAGCAGGTAAATAAAATTTAGTGTTGTGAAACTGATTAGGAAGAAAGAGTTTACCTTGTTAATAAGTTTGAGTGAAGAAAGAAGATGGTGATATACGTCCAGCTAGCGAAAGAAGAACATTGACCTTCCTGATGGTGTTGTTGGTTTTGTTTCATCAAGTCTCTGCCGCTCTGCGTAATTACTTAGATGAAATGGAACTAATTGACAGATCTGCAGAATAGGTTGTAATCCATAATTACTCTCAAATGGTCATGTGTTGTATTCTGAATATTGAATCTCATATTCTTGTTCACTCAAAAGACAATAGGTTCCTGAGTTAAAGGAAAAACATAACAATGTCCCTTCAATAAAGGGGTAAACTTTGGTTGAATCAATGAATATAGCAAAAGTCAATAGGTTCCTGAGGTTAAAAGGTTGAAAGGAATTTACAATGAAAATATGAATATAAAGGTGCTCCTACCTCTTTTCTCTACTACAGCAAAAACAGTAATAAGTGCAAGCATCGTTTGTCACAATTCCGATCAGATTCCTTCATGCCGGAATAGGATAGAGCTTATAATAAACTCAATTCCAGAACAAAATAAAACTGAAAATAGAAAAAAAAAATTGAGTTGGAACGGAAATAGGATAAGTGATGAATATATGAAAAGATAACGCTCAGTTTGAAATGAAAGAAAACCTAGAAGGAAATCAGATCTAAATTTGTATAGACTAAATAGAGAGGAGTAGTACCTGGTACCTCTAGCGCTAACGATCGATGTAGTGCGTGCGTCTGAAAAAGAGAACTCAGAGAAGTAGTTTTTAGGAAGAAGAAGGTGCGGCGGCAGAAGAGGAGAAATGCGTAACTTTTTTGCGGATTGGTGAAATTACGATTGGGTCCATAGCACTTAGGCGGGAGAAATTTCTCTTTCCGGTGTAGTGCTTTTAGGTATAGGATTTCTTTTTTCTTTTTTTTTATAGATACGGAGTATATGGGATCTAAAAATAGTCGAATTCGGAATTAAACATGCCACATCCGGATCATTTTAAAAAGCTGATGACATGATACCCATAAAAATTGAGGATATTGTACGTATCTAATTTTTTCGATTGTAAAATTATTCTAAGTGGTTATTGTTGACGAGGTTCACTAACTTGAAGGTACTAATGTACCATAGCAGGGTAATATAATGTCATTACAACCTTCGCTCCTAGTTAGGCTCCCGATTACCAATCTAATGTAATAATGTCATTACAACAACACCTGAGAATCCTTCAATAAAAGACAGATTCACAGATTCATCGATGGAATGGAAATCAGAATTTCAAATAGCGTGACTCATGAATCATGATCCAAATTAAACCTTGGGATCGGATCATCGAAAGTTTGTAGTCTTTGACTCTTTTCTGCCGCTTCATAATTAATTAAGCATTAAAAGAAAGTATATACATACATCATGGTGCGGTAATTAATTGTACTTATCATTAGGAGAACGGACTACCAATGAACTAATTCAGGACAGACTTTATTGGCCACCGATGATTCGAACTAGCAGGGTGGTTTACAAACTTGCAATTCGGACATGTTGGGGTAGCCTTACAAACCATCACCAACATATGACACTTGTCACACACCGCCGTCACCATCTCCTCCTGATCTCCGTCGTCGAATGTCAACCACGACGGAGACCGGGATAGACTTAAAAACCCCCCACTTCTCTTCTTCCCGCCGGCACCTTCACCGGAAGTGGTAATCGGATCATTGATAATTTTATTATTACAACTAGGGTTTTTGAGAGTAACATTGGTCTCCGTGAAATTGTCGCCGACGTGGTGTTGTTCCTCCGATGACCCTCCTCCGCATAATAGGTTTAGTTCCAGGTCCAAACTCGCCGGAGCCGGCAGCTCTTCCGGCGGACTACTTATTCTTGGATCCGTTGTGGTCTTCTCCTTGGTTCTTGTGTTGTAGAAGTATACTTGCCCGGACTGCAATAATAATGACAATAGTATTAGTAAACTTATTCTAACTCAGTTAAATAGAATTATGTGGTTGATAATGAATTGATAAATTTGGAAACAAAATAATAACGAATTAAAATCACATAAATATTATCAAATACTACCTTCGTTCTTAAATAAATGCAACACTTTGACTTTTACACTATTCACATGTTCTACTTTGACTACGTTTTATTTATTAATGTAATAATATTATTTTATGAAAAAAATATTGTTAAACTTGTCTCATTGTAAATTTTCATAATCTATTTTTTTTAAATTTTTTTACTAATACAAAATCATTTATATTAATGGTCAAAGTCGTGTATCGGCAAGTGTGAAATGTTGACCGTTGCATTTATTTAAGAACGGAGGAAGTATATAGTATGATATGAGACAAATTTAATAGGACAGACAGAAAAAAATGCAACAATTATAGTGGGACAGATAGGGAGTAATAAAACTCATTAAACCAAAAACACTTTCTTTTAATGGAAAAACAATTGTATTGAAAGATTTTTCTAAAAGTTTTTGAAACGGGATTATAAAATTTTCCCAATGGTTTTCTTGCTTCATAATTCAAAAACTAACCACATAACATCACAGTTATCCTCAACAATCTCATTATATGAAATATTATGTAACCAGCACAATTACTTCTCAAAATAGCTCGAATTATCATTTTTGACTATTGTACAAATAGTTGTGTCATTTTGCAACAAAAACCTTTGAATGACGTGACAAGGCAGTACCACGTATTATTGATAATACTTTTATGCATACCTTAATGTCGAGACATCTCTGCCATTCCAAGGGAAGGGGAGCCAAGAGGGGAAGTTCAATTCCAAGAAGAGAATTGATGATTCGGGTTTGTGACCTTTCGGATACTTCTTCTACTAACCTTTTCCTCTTTTTTGGTAAACTCATTTCGAAGAAGTCTGGGTTCTGGAGATTTTTGGATCGTCGTCCCAGCAACTGATGAGGTGATAAAGATGAGTGAAATGAAACCATGGCCGATGGGACTTAAATGAATGAAAATAATAATAATAATAAAAAGAGGCTGGTTTGAATGAATATATATAGCAATAAGCTAAGGGCGGAGTACGTGGAGCAGTGGAAATTGAAGGGAGTGATGATCAGAAAATGGAAAGGTTGGCGGTAGATGGAATTGAAGACTGCCAAAGTGGATCGATCGATCGGAATTTAAAAGGCCAAATTCTTAGTAATTTCATAATGGCTTTGGGGTAGGGGGTGGGGTTAGGGGGTGCAATTAATGGGATGGGGTGGGGAGTAAAAACGGAGGTTACATTAGTTTTAATTTTTCTCAACAGATATATCATTTTAAACGTGCATTTTTAATCAATCATCTTTTGCTCCTGACGGTATCGTAAGCCATTGGCTAACAATTTGATTAATTAATATCATTAGCTAGTTCATGACAAATAAAAAAAATATCTTTGAAATATAGTTATTCCAACAACTATATTTTTGTGAAAACGTATAAATTAGACAAAAAAGTTTTGCACGGAGTATATGACCACGGTAATCTTTGGATCTAATTCTTAAAACTGCTTCTTCTTCTTTAGAGAACAGAAGCACAAGTTGATCGAAGTGTTTGAGTGAAAGTGCAGAAGTGATTCTGGTGCTCTAATTTACTCTTAGAATCAGTTTTTCAGAAGTTGGGGGAGACCAGCTTCTGAAAACTGATTCTGATTCTACTTCTACTTAAAAAAAAGCAGAATCCGTTCCAAACACCCCCTATATTATTGATTAAAATCTAATATATTGAAAAATTCGAAGATGACTAAATAAAAATGAAAAACTTACTAGGATTTTGTATTATACTTAGGCATCAATTAAAATTTTAAAATGGAATTTTATATTATATAATTGTATCACAGTCATATAAAAACTCTAACCAGATTCCTTTCGGTTTGAATTTAATAAATTAATTTACAATTCATAATACTGAAATAAGCATCCACCATTTTTTTATTATTAATTAAGACATTTTAAAAGCCTCCAAAAAGCTCCAAAAGGCGCCGCATAGGCTCCAATAAGCATCCACCATATCCACTACTAAATGTCCCACACCAGAAATGTTTGGATGAATAAAGTGCTATATTAACACATGAGTTACTTCTCCTAACAGGTGACCTTTTAGGATGGAACCCCGAATCTTAACATGGTATTAGAGCCAAACAATCCATGGTGTGGGGCCCCTTATGAAAATTGATGGCACAATCCAGACGATGTGTCTGGTCGTGAGGAGGGGTATTAAATGTCCCACCCTGGAAAAATTTGGATGAATAAAGTGCTATATTAACACGTTACTCCTTCTAACAGGTTGATCTTTTAAAATGGAACCCCGAATCACGGTCCGATCCTCAGAAACCAGTTGGACAAATGAATGGAAATGTTACATTGAGCTGCGCTATAATAACACCATTATTCATAAATGGCGATACATTCACTTGGTGCAAGTTTGATACGATCAACTAAATGGTATTCCCTCAATATAATAAAGTATCGCAATTGGTTTTTCATATAGTTTAAGTAAAAAGTTTTCGACATTATAACAATATAATAGTGTATACTTTTATTAAAGTGTACTACTTAAAACCCGTTTGGTAATATGATAATATCAAATCGACCGTATGGTTGATTCTGGTGAATTTTATGAAATTCCAGTTGAAGTAGCTAGCTTGACTGATTCTGCTGATTTATGGAAAGTAAAGAAAAATTTATATGAAAAAAAAGCTAAAATTATCCTTTACTGTAACGTCAACCAATACAGCAAGAATATAATTTCAACCTTACATTTTCTTATTGTTACATATTTCAGCTCGCGAAATCAAAAGTTACGTGCTTGGTAAAAAAACATGACCGATAAACCCGAAAACACAAATACCAAAAGGGCTCGCAATGTTGTTTGTACAAAGGATTTTAATTTTACAAAATACCTTAGAAGGGACTTATCTTTGGACTTCAACTACAATCAGGAGATTAATAGAGTGGGATTAACCCTTCAATTTAATTTGACAGCCATTGTTAACCAATCTATATCATTCGGGCATGTCCCACAAATTAAATTTGGCGATGGCGTGCTCTTCAAGTGAATTCTTCAAGTAGCAATAACTACTCGTCTCCAACCTGCTATTTAATTTGTATTAAAGCAATACTCGATCTTACTTAATGCTTCTAACAACCGACTCCTCTTCTTCGTCAAATTTCCCACTGTTCCATCAAACCTACCTTCATGCATGCATATCCATTTGCGCGTCTCTCTCTACTTCCTTCATTCTTATTACTCCCAATTTAATTAATTAATTGACTGCACTTCCATCTTATCTTTTAAAATATCTGCGGTTTAATGTTTGTTCGTACACGCATTTTTTTTCTACATTAAAAAAATTTTTTGCAATACGGCGGACAATTCATTTTGAATTTCTAAAATTTTTACTCTCTCAATTTAAAAGTATTTGTAAAAAAATTAATACTACGTAACACATTTGTAAAATGAAATATTTGATTTTAAAATAAAAATAAAAATAGTAAAAACAAAAAAAACAAATATGGATGCCTTTCCCACCGCTTCACAGCACCACCACCTCTCATCGGTGAAAAATATGCCATTTTTTTTAAATGCCAGGGTAAATGATATTATTACTCTTGATAATTCCAAAATTTTCATTGAAACTGTCATAAATATGGCATTATTAATGCATGTTGAAATTTATCTATGCTGATCAAAGCTGGTGGTGCTGGGGTGGCAGAGGCGGAGAGGTATTTTATTTTATTTTTAACGGTTTTTTTTAAATAACATTTTTTTTAATTTCAATTTTATAAATATTTTATTAATTCTTATTATTTTTATGGTTTTTATTATTTTTACGATTTTATTATGAATTAAAACATTTTAAAAGCTACAAAGATATATTTGTAAAAAAACACACATAATTAGTTCTACTAGAGAATTTAAAACAATGTAGTCCTATTTATGATTTTGGCTAATTTTTAGTCCTAGTTAGGTAATCCTCTCTTAAACTACTTCGTATTAGATAGATTGATTAAATTGTCTAGAACTCGATCTACATATGTGAAGCGGCACATGTTCTGGAGCGGATTCAAGAATATGAATTGAACTTGACGTGCACTTTGTCGTGAGTGCACTCAAAATAAATTCAATACTAACACTTATACGTAGTATAGGTGAAGTAGAGTTCGTATCCACAGGGAAAGGAATAATTTATCTTTTTAACGAAAGGAGTAAATAAAGGAGGGTTTTGGGTTGAATGATTAAATTAAATTAAACACGAAGATGAACGAGTTATGTGGTTTAATTAATGAGAAGAAGACTTGGCTTTGCTTTTATCCACTTAATGAAATGTTCGTCGATCCCGGTTATATCTTTAACTATCTTCCTCTCGAATACTCAATCGAGGAGTATATCCAATTCATCGAGGGTAGTTATTAATAACGAGACGCGTTCATTAATAAAACTTACTACCGAGTTAATATAGAACACGCGCCGTATATTCACTCGATAGTAGCAATAAAATCAAGATGAAAACGATTGAGATTGATAACCTCAACACAAGCGGTTTATTGGTTTAATCAATATAATTAATTCCCCTTGGTTTATTAACCATGAAACGCATGCGTTAATAACCCAAGTTTACTACCGCGAAAGGACCGAATTAATAACAAGCGTATTAATCGACCGATTCTAGTAATAATTAATATATGAAACAAAACTAGTTGATCCTTTAAGTAATGTTCAAAATATTAATATGAAATATGAATAGGAATTAATTAATACTCAAGGAAGAATATTAAAGAAGATGAATCCTACTATAGTTAATATCAAGATGTTAACTAATTGTCATCTTAGTAACACTCCCCGATATTAACGTAGAGGAAGAAATAACTATTACTATAACTAATGTCAAGATGTTAACTAATTGTCATCTTAGTAACACTCCCCAACATTGATATAGAAATAGTATTCAAAGAAAGAATTAATATTCAAGGAAGAAGATTAAAGATAATAACTCACAACTTACAAATTCATTAAGCTTCAAAGTAGCAAAACCAAGATGGAAGAGTTTAGCTCCTCATTTGGAGACTAAACATGATGAAAAATATAAAGAAAGAACTTGTCTAAACTGAGCTAAGAAGTATATGTGAATTGGTGGTCTTCTTGTGGAGGAAATGGGGTGTATTTATAGGCTTTTTAGTCTTGCAGGGTCGTGTACCCGATCGGGTTTTCAGCCCACTCGATCGGGTACCATATGTGGCTTCGGCGAAGCTGAAAAATGGGGTCATACCCGATCGGGTCTGTCGGTCACCCGATCGGGTATGGACACCCGAACGTGTTAAAATCTTCCCGCATGATGCCTTGTTCCTGGATTTGATTTGATTCGAAATTTCAGAAGGGTACCCGACCGGGTATAGGTCATACCCGATCGGGTACAGACCAAAAACGAGATCTTCAATCTTTTTCTTGCATTCTTGCACCTTCCTTCCACTGGTGATGTTCTCCAAAGTGTATTTGGACCTGTTTGAGCTCAGAATAAACCTAATCTAAACATATTACAAATATTTTACAAACTAAACTATTTACACCAAAAGTGTGTAATTTCCAAAGTAACAATCACTCGAAACTAATTAAAAGTACAAATTTAAATATGGAAATTACACGAATGTCAGAACTCCAAAGAGAAATAACTATACTACGTTTAAATGTTAGTGGGGTAGGTTAAATGTGAAAAAAGAAAAAACCTAACTACATTAGAAAATTTTGGAAAATATAATGTTAAAGAAAAATAACATGTTTATTACTACGTAATTACTAACGGAGTTTATCAGACAAAAATATGAATAGTTATGTTTTTGGACATAAATATGACTACTCGGTGTGTACAAATAACTGAGCAATACTAGTAGTTAATATAGTCTATTCATCAGAGTGACAAGATTATAATAGATGACGAGTCATTGGGAAATAATATGTCACTTGTTTTAAAAATTTTAAATTAGTCATATTTTTAACATTTGAATTTAATTTAGTACCACATAATATTCATGCAAAGAAGCCCAAAAGTTATGTTGCGGTGAATCTCACCATAACCCTAATGTACATCCTCTTATATACACGTCTCTGATCTACTCGATCATCTGTTGATATATGTCCTTTCCATTACTGGGAAAGGGGATTTATAAGGC